TAGTAAAAGAAGGAATTTTCGCTGCGACCAAATTTAACAGAATTATGGCCATTTGTTGATTTTTTCACTATATACCATATATATGTTGTCAGTGGGGGCATCCGTGTCCTTTGGACACAGTTCTAGTTGTTGCTTTTGTATTCTAGATTTGACTACTGTAGCTAATTGAAATAAATAATGAGAAATCAATTTGTTTAAAAATCGAGTAATAATATTACTTCGATGTTAAAATTAAATTGTTATTCTATATATAAAACTGCATTTTTTGCTGTAAAAAAAATATGTAAAATGATAAATCTAGTCAATATATAACGAGTTTAAGATTATGCTCACATTTTATTTTTGTATTTGTTAATGGCCAAAGGCTGATTACTAATAAACTAAAACTGATAATTTGCCTATGAAATAGCCGTATAAAATGCTATTAATTAGAATATATTCATTTTTTTTGTATTAATGTTGGTACCAATAAATAGTATGTTTTTCTTTTATTTTATTTTTTTTTGTAGTCAGTGTATTTTATGATAGTTGTATGCATTTTATAAATTATTGCTGGTAACATGTTTCAGCTATGTATTAAATAGTTGACTTCGCTATAATAATAATTGCATACTCATGAAAAATTCTGAGCATTTTAGCCTTGAAGTATTCACATTTATATGAAAACATTTTTAGGGAAGAATGAAAGCTCTTTTCTTCTTTTCTTTAAGGTCTTAAAATCTGGTTGTTTTTTTAAATACATTAATTTGGTAATGAGTTAAAAGTATAAAGTACAAGGGTGTCGTATTTGAAGAATTGTTGGTATTTTTGTTGGTATTGCAACCGATTTGAACCAAATTCAAAATTTCATATTAAGATATAACATATTTCATACCAGGACGAATTATAACCTTATACGAGGGGCGTTCAAATATGAATGCAACTGGGTCAATTTTCAGAAGTGCTTAACAAACATGCCAAAATAATTATCTCAATCCTTAAAAATACTCACCACTATGTGATGTACAAAGTTTTAGTCTTGTAATCAAATTTTTAAATGCGTTTTCATAATCTTTTCGAGGTGTACTGTTCAAACACTTGAAAATAGCAGAATCGAGTTTTTTCTTCCAGCAAGGTGTGTTTTTATAGTCTCGGAAATAGGTAAAAAGTCACAAGGGGTAAGATCTGGCAAATAAGGAGGGTGAGGAAGCTCGACAACCTTTTCCTATTTCAGATATTCTCTCGTACAATGACCGCTAGGTGTGACGAATCAATGTCATGCAACAACCTGACACCACGGAAACCAGTTGCTGGTCGGCGATTTTTGAAATATTTGTTTAATTTATGAAAGACATTGCCTTCATAAAACTTGGCATTTACATATTTACCCTTTGGTATGGCAAATTGAATAGCAGGACGTTGAAAATAACCTACATGACATTTTTGACACTCATGGTGCGTTTTGCTATGCAATGTCTTTGCTTTCCTTTGGTTGCCCGTCGTTAGCTTGGGCTCATAAAAGTGGACCCACGTATCATCGGCACAGTGATGATATTTGAGAAAGATCGATTGTTGTATTTAAGGAACTGTTTCAACAATTGTTTGGAGATTCCTACCCGAGCAACTTTTTACTCATTTGTAAGGAGATGTGGTACTTTATCTAATCTAAATCAGTCTAATTTTAAAATCATGCATGAGAATTGTATGAGAGGCTTCTACAGAGATACCAACGCATTAAGCTATATACCTAGTTGTAAATCTTGCATCAGTAGCAATCAAAATCCTTTACTTTTTCAAACATTTTTGGCGAGGTTGCATTTTTTTTTGGGACGGCGTGCATGATGTGCATCTTTTACTGAATCCGAACCACTTTTAAAGCTCTTACACCACCAAGTGACAGATAAAAAAGAAAGTTCACTGTTCCCATAAACACGACGTATTCCATTAAATATTTTTTTCGCCTGTATACCAAGAATACAGCGTTTTTCTTGATATAGGACTGTATTTGTTCAGTGAAGGAAACATTTTCCCAACCATCTTAGCATGTATTTTTTATCAATTGATAGCTTACACATCTATTCGATACATGTACATAGTTCGTGCAAAATGTGGCTTAAAGCGAGATATTGGCCTTGCTGCATTCATATTTGAACACCATTCGTATACAGTTTATTTCATTGTTGTATAATTATGGAATAATGTCCGTTTATTTTATGCTTTTGAGTGGGTTACTGATTTATCCGTGAAAATTATATCTTGATAATTTCAATGTAAAAATTTTCGAAATATAATTTCACACTTTTCAGTGAAGAGACTACTTTTTTAAAGATTTTCCTAATGTGGAATCTTACTTTCATTTTCGCTTACAATTCCGACATTATCAGGCCTGTTTAGAGCGGAGCAAAGCTGAAATTGATAAATAACTTGAATTTCATACGTAATCAAACAGATAAAACTTCTTTCAATTCATTCAATTTAGAGATCACCAAATAAAATATCTAAATTTTGATTAAATTCATAATAGTCTGATAATAATACTTCTTTCCAAAATGCAAATCTGCTCTTGATGACATTTGGAAAAAATGCAATGTGTAAGAGCAATGACAGTCACCAGACAGGAAAAAAAAGAAGTAAATATACCAGCGTTCGTAAGTAGGCCTTTCAAAAAAAGGCATGTTTCCCAGATTTCTAGTCCCTTCCACAAGCGTACGGCTCAATGAATGTTCACAAAATATATGTTTGATAGAATTCATGAAATTAATTCAAAGTCCATTCTCATCACACTATATACTAAGAGACAAGGGTAACAACTCCCAGGGGAAGGTGTCTTTCCCAAGTCAGGAAGTAATTATGCAATATGTAGCTTAATAATTTATCTGTCAAATTCTTCATTCACATGAGGTACCGATCGATCGTGGCTGTGAGGTAAAAACAGATTTATGCAGTCGTAAGCGGTAATATTTCAAGTTTTATAGTGCCTAGTAATTAAAACGTCATTAAAGTAATCGAATCACACATATAGCTTATACTCGTAATGTAAAATAAAGCGCCTCTTTGAAATTCCTACTTTTGCACCGTCATTTTTGCAAATATAAACAACCGTCATCGGATTGGTCGATTTATTTTCTGAAAGAAAACTGTAAATTTCCATGAAAAACACGACCAATCGGATGATGGCTCATTTACATTTTCCAAAATATCGGTGTTTCTACGGGCATTGTAATCGATTCGATTTTATACAAATTGGAACGATAGATTTTTTATTGCTATTTCATTGTTTTTTGTTGTGTTAGATAAAAAGCAAAGCTATAAAAAACCTATACTAAAAATAACCAGTATTCAAATATAAAAATAAATATTCATAATTCAAAAAAGCAGTGAAAATACCATGAAAAACTAGCAAAATGTCTGACAAAAATGAAAGTACGTATTCGCCTTATTTAGGTGAAGAAACACATATAGCCGAAGCCACTATCCACTATGCATAAATATGTATAAAAAAAAAACATAATTAATAATGTCTTAATATCGCCTTAATCCACATACTAATCGAATTTACATTGATTTTCTAATTGTCACAGGATGCCACTACTTTTTATTAATTCTATTAACCATGGGAAGCACATGTTTCAGATATTGAATGATGCCAATTATTTTCATATTGACTTATATCCATATACCAAGTTTTATCTTAATGACACAATTTAGTATTTTTCAGTTATTTCAATGTTTTTCTATTTCTGTACCCATGCCTAAATACTAAAATAAAGTTCCTAATCTCAATAAGGTCATCTATCGACATACATGTTCGAAATTTTTATCAACCTAACATACCGGTAAGTATAATTTGAGTTACACAAGGTCAAACTTTGTCCCCATATACTTATTTCTGTTTTCATAGCAAACATAATCTCTGTTTGATGAAAAAGTAAAATGACATTTGAAAATGTCGTCTATTTTCAATAGTTCTAACAGGGTCCCTCTTATGTTCCGTTTCCATTGTTTTTAACATTTTAAGTAAGGGTAGCAAAGAATGCTTTATCCAATTTACCAACAAAAGACGTACATAATTTTCACATTGTCCCCAATGTATATATTAAGTTTTATCAACATAGCTGTTTCATTCTTTTGGTTATCACAGATTTCTACTTATGTTTTGGTGACATTGTGTTTTTCCATATCCGTAATAATAGCAACCACATTTTTTTTCCTACGAAAAGATTAAGATAACGTACATAATCTCCATACAAAGTATTACCAGCCTAACTGTTGAACCTTTGACTTATGATTGGGTCCAGATTTCTTTGGGCGAACAGAGGTGCCAACGCTTTTTACTTTGATCTTGATGTGACTTTTTTTACACATAAAACAGTGAAAAACAAATGGTTTATGTTTATCTAAGATTATTGATGGAATGAAGCAGATCAGCAACTGTGTGTAAGCCCGAAAGGACGGACAGTCGGGGTAAAAAATGTTGCATTGATTAAGTCTTATTTACTATATTTTTTCAGAGTATAAGAACAAAAAAGCAAACAAAGTAAGTTTGGACCTCAGAATAAATATGGTACTGTGAAAAAGGAGCTAAATTACTTTAATCATGCAGCCTCTCTTAAATTTTCTGTACGTTTCAAATTCATTTTACAAAAAAAGCTAACATCCTTTTAAATAATGTAAACAGTATGTGTAGATATGTATCACTGATTCTAAAAAAGGATGAAAATAATGTTTTCTCTGTAATTCAATATGTGACTTAAAAATTCCCAAATTATTAATGCATTTTCTGTTAAAGCTAATATAACTACCTATTATTACCTAGTAAATTGTATGCATTCATGTTTGGTATATTTTGTTTGGTAGTTGTAAAGGCAATGTTAATGTCAATCATGTCAAGTTTCTGAGAGTGCAAAGAAAATAATTCAAGCATAATTTTGTATCTTTGTAAAACGAAATAATGGAGAAATTATCCAGGAAAATGCATCATTCGTTAACATTGTTGTTATAACGTATTTAAATACACATACTAGCAGGGGTTGTTGAGCTCATAACTGTTGTTACTGTTGGTTCTGAAGTAGTAGTCGTTTTTACTGTAGTGACACTCGGTGTTTTTTGTGTTGTATTGGCATTTGTTGTTGTTACATTTGGCGTTGTTGCTGTTTCTGTAAAAGAAACCTGAAATAGAAAGAAAACCGTCCATAAGACCCACAGATGATGTCGTAGGCTGTCTCTACAATGCATAAACAGAACAGAGGAAAATGATTATATTACGAAATATATAAAGCATCCCAGGCAGTCAAAACAGTAAATAGAAGGTTTCGTTTCATTCTAAAAACTAGTAACGAAATATAGAAAAGAAACTTTCAGATATTGCATTACAAATATTATTCTCATATGTTTTATTCAATGTCGAATAATAATTCTGTTTTCAATATCAATTAGTTCATTTATAATTGTCATACACTTTAGGATTTTTGTTTTCCTTCATTTATTGAACAATGAAATCTATCAATTTTCAAAGACGAAATCAAACAAAACAACAAAGATATCAAATATATGTTTTAGATATAAGAATATAATCATTAGTATTTCTTAACGACGGCACAGTTTAAAAAAGGATGATTTTTTTTTTCGGGGCCAAAGTTTCCCCCAAAAGAATTACATATATATGTATGACACAATTAAAGAACAAAGCCCTTCCCATGAATTTGACCGGGTGGACAAAAGCTTTTTAGTCAAATTTGACAATGAAGTGCAATAAATACTTAATGATGGCAAATATCTAACAAGACACATGCTTTACATGTTTAACACTGAGGTTGGTGATCGTTGTAACCATGTAACTTAAGGAGACATATTTTCCTCAGTTAACTTTTTCACGGGTTTCTGGTGATATATATTTTGTCAGAACAAATTACAGTTCAATTAAAATATGTCATAATGTCAAAGGTGACAAGTATATCACTTAAAGGGATGGATGCTCAACAAACTTTTTAGTTTTTGTTAATTCAATTAAATGCATATTAGTCGTCAATAAAAAGGGAAAGTAAAAGTGTAAAATTATATTCCAAGCACCAGTGGCCTTGGCCCAAGTGTACAAAATCAAGAAAACAACTTAAGGTATCTAACTTCCAAATATGAAAGAAATATATCAATTGATGCCGGCTGCATGAGAAAACGTGTAAAGTTGTGATTTTATCAGTTTTGTAACCTGAACATGACCAAATTGTCTACTTCCTCTATCCAAAGTTATAGTACCACCCAAGATATTAACTTTCAAAAACGTAAAGCAACAGTCAATGTAAAAAGGCTGTATATGCAAACGTTTAATATATTTGTTTTATAAATTTTATCAACGAAGGACTTCAATGCCAGTCTACTCCATTTCAAGTGTCTACTTACCAGATATTTTAAACATGACACAATAAAAAAGCTGTATGAACAAAAGTGTAATAAACTATTTGAAGTACCAGTTATCTTGACATTGACCAATGTGACCCATCACTGTACTCAAAGTCAAAAAGACAAAGGTATATTCCTACCACATATCGAAAGCATCGGTTTGTACGTATTATAAAGTGAGATGGTTCAAAAATCACGTTAAGACGTACCATTGTGGTTGTTTGACATAACACATCTTCTATCTAGTTTCAATCACTAAGGAAGGTTTCCATGAGATATTATTAACAGTTTAGAAATTATACCCAGGACAAGCATTATTATAAAGGGAGATATTTAAGCAAGATAAAATAACAAACAAATAAGTAATGTGGAGTTATGAATATCACTTTTCCTTGTAAGTCCTCATGAATTTGTGAAGTTTGATTGAGGTTACTATCATGGTTTAGAAGTTATCACAGAAACATTATTATCCTTATCCTTGTTTCATTTTCATTTACTAGTATTCAATTAAACGATATTTTGGAAGGGCTTTTTCAGTTGCTTGCCAATTTAGAGTGGAAAGCTTTTGTTAAAGAGGATTACGTCCGTCGTATCTTATCAGCTGTAATGTAAATATAATTTTTATGAAGTTAAAATCGAAAATACTCACCAAAACTGCTACAATTGTCACGCAAAAATAAGAATGCCTCGTCATCTTTAACCTCTTTTCGGAAATCTGTAACATGAACACTTAAAATATAAATTTTATAACATCTTATGGTATAACACACTGACAATCTGATTCGGTCTAAAAGGCTACGTAGATGTATACTTTTGAACACTCATTTTGTGAAATTTGATATTGACTTTGACTCCAGCTTTGATCAAATGGAGTATTCGTATTCGATAATTAATACACCGTTCGATATGGAACAGAGCGTTGCTTGGGTCCAGCATAGAACTTTAAGTTTAATACTTGCATAAGTTTGAGACTTGACAAATATTTCTCGTTAGTATTTAATGTTCAGCTATACTTGTTAGAGATTTAAACGAGGATTAAGTATTTAATTTAAAAACCAAAAAGTAAAAAAAAAAAACACTAAAAAGTGCCAACAACTCCCAACACTTACAAATTGAATAAAAGATAATTATATGTTTATCCAATTTTTGGGGGGTTAGTTACTTAGTAAAATTAGTTTCAGACAAGTATGTATAAAATTTGATAAATGTTCAGTTATTAGATAATGCAGCTACAGTTTTCAGGTTGCAAGCTTAAAACAGGGGGGTGGAACCCCATATGTATCTCAAAAATGAGCATCGGTAAAAATTATATGTGAATTTCCGCTGCACCAGATGTGAAGCATAGCACCAGATGTGACTGTAAAAATAGGTCAATCGCATGGTAAGTTTTCATCTTTTTAAACATTAATTTAAAATGCAATCCTTTTTTTAAGAAAATCGAAATATGATTCTACCCTCCTGACTCTCCTCTACATGTATATAATCCATTTTTGTTCTGGATTTCTATGCAGTTTTCATCGAGATATTCTTTCCGTCGTGGGTTCTGGTTTGTCCAAAACATGCAATGTGAATGAAAAAAGTGTCACTAAACGGACTCAATAAACAAAGATTTTACGAAATCTCAGTACAGATGATGCTTAACATTTAAACAAGTCCTGATTTAAACATTTATTGATTTGACGACAAACGAAGGGAATCGCTGCACCAGACGTGAAGCATAACACCAGATCTGACTGTAAAATTATGTATATATAGGGTTCCACCACTGTGTTAAAAGGATGAAATTATAACAACTGATTTTTCTTGTTTACTGTGGAAAAACGAGCATAACAAAATCAGCTAAAAAATACTTCGTGTAATAAAGTCTGATTTTTAAAAGCAGGAATTATCTCTTATTTAAATCCCAATATCAAGAAATAGAAAATGGGTATGTTTTATTTAACACCGATACAGTTATGGTGATATGGCGACTTAAACTGTAGGGTTAAGATCGAAAGATCCAATGGAGTATCCTAGAACTAATACGAGTACACCAATCGGTATGGCACTAGACTGTGCCTAGATCGAACATTATGATAATGGAAATCAAAGCTTTTACTTGTATAATTTTGAGACTTTAACAAATACATTGTATTTCTCGTTAATATTCTTATATAGAGCTACGAGAATAAGACATAAGCAGTCCCTTAAGTTTTTACCTTGTTTAAAAATAAATGTGAGATTTTAAATCATTTTTCATATCATTTACACTCGTATATATTATTCAAATGTCTTTCAATAATATGCAAGTGTATGTTCTTTTTATGATAGGTGTTCATTCAATTGACTGCTAGCGATAAGAGGAAAAATATAAATCAGCTCCCAGAAATCATCCACATGATTAAAAATTCTGACTTTAACGTTGTGTTTTCCATGCATTATATTGAATAAGAAAATGATAAACAATGTGCTGTTGTTGTTGTTGTTGTTGTTGTTTTTGTTGTTATCGGACTTAAGATATCAGAATAATTTCATTTTTTATTGTCTAGTCCCACTGTCAGAAGAAAGGCAGTTATTTCGGTCATCATTACAAGAATGTTCTTGTATGATTAAGATTTTTGTTGTCTGAGCCTCGTCACTTCATTTTTTCCAAACACTGTATTATATGTAAGCTGATCTCAATATCATATAATGTCGAGTGTTAATATTTTGACGTTATAATTATCATTCGTGTTATATAAAATTAACTTTAGTGAATGGAATCACGACAGAGGCAAAAATTGTCTTGATTATTTCTTTTCATTATTTTTCTAAATTCATAATTTGATTGCACAGAGTGCATACTTTCTGTTTTGATAAGATTTGTAGCAATCTGTTGACTTATCATGAACTTATGTTCGTATAAGTATCCTTATCATTTTAATTTAAGAATGATGTAAATTCTACATAAAAATGAATCCAAACTAATATCTAGAGGAAGTCCCGAAAACTAAAATAGCAATTGCCAAATCGCAAGTTCATTCAATGAGTTACTTGTTAAGGATGGCGTAATTTTGTACACCAACAAATTTAATATACTCACATCTACAAAATCAGTCCAAGATTAACAATGGTGTCACATTTTCTTCTATATCCGTGTCATTAATTACTTCTATTGTTTTTATATTGCCTTCAACTTTCAAATTTTTCGCGGGAAGAAACTCACTTTATAAAACTAATTAATTACTTAATTAATTCCAGCTTTGATACAGTGTATTTGTTTTTCTCTGCTTGTTTAATAGATATCACGTCAAACATTTCAGTTTCAAACTTCCTGTTTTAGTTCACACGTGACATCCACGGTATCTATAGATAAAAGAAACTTGTTATCATAAATTTGATATGCTCCATATTTGTTTTAACTTTTCAAATCAGATATACCGACTTACGGTGTAAAAATATTGACTTTTAAAATTTTAACTCACAAATCGTCTCCCACTATTTACATCTTTTAATACTTCCTTAAAATGAAACGCAACACTTTAGATACTATCTATTACCTTGTTAAAAGAAGGTTATGAAAATATGTAAACGCTCCTTACGAAAATGTTTACGGTTCGATGTAATTAAGTGCATTTTAGGTCTTTAACTTTTGTCCGTCTGTGAAGTATTTGTATTTGAGGGGAGGAAGTGTAAGAGTATATTGTAACTAATGAGTCTGGACTACTTGAAACAAAACTTCCGGAACCAATTTCACATGGCATTACATCGTCAGCTCAAACGTTTTTGCTACTAATTAATGATATAAGTCGTGTGTGAATCGCCATGTCAAAAAACTACCAAATTTTAACATTAAAATATACGTTCCCAGATCTTTGTCAATGTATATTATATAATCTGGTACTTGTTGCAACCTTCATGATTAAAAGCTGCATGCCTCCAAATGAGCAAAAAAAAATTAAAGATAATCAAACTTGAGAAAAATTGTCGACGAATTTGCATGCTGCGTTGGATTAAAGCTGCACACCTCCAGATGAGCCAAAATATTTCAAGATGATCAAACTTGAGAAAAATGTACTATGATTTTAAGAAAAGTAAAAATATTAACAATTAAAGTATTTAATTTATATGTAATGTGCGATTTATACTGATTTTGAAATGTTTACCACCTTTTTTCTACTGTGTGACTAACTCATTCAGGGCTATTTTTGCATATATTTTGCTAATTTGCGTGGAATTTAAGTGCCGATTGCAATTTGTAAATTAATAACTTTGTTCACTTCATGATATACTTTTAAGTTTTAAATACATTAAAAAAAGTCATGAAAATTATCATTATTCTAGAGGCATGCGGCTTTAAATAAATGTACAACTTCAACTTTAATTATCAAATATGTGTTTACAAATAAAGGATAGTTTGTTTGCTTGCATTGAATAAATACATGGTTTATATCTCATTGACAGTTACATGTATTACCGCTAAGATAACATAATTATCTATAACTTACTTACGAATGAAGGGCGCGTTTTTATATTTTTTATATTTCTGTATCATTTCATCATCATCATCATCATCATCATCATCATCATCATCATCATCATCATTATTATTATTATTATTTTTATTATTATTATTATTATTATTATCATCATCATCATAATTATTGTTATCATTTTTAATATTATTTTCTTTTTGTATTTGGTTTGTAACAAATTTATAACTTTTTCACAATAAGTGATTCAGTGATTACTTGTAGATGATACGATTTATATTTCACTGTTCATATCAGTATATCTTTTTACCTAGAAATGAAGTGCATGTACACTGTTTATTTCTATCCATACTTTCATTCCACTGATAAAGCAGCACGAATTCAGATTTCTGCTTTATTTAGATGAATATTTAGAAAATGATTTCTATACATGTAATTTAATTTTTGTGAAATAAACAAGTTAGGTCTACCTAAAGCTTGCATTACGTACATACAATACGTATCATGCGTATTGATCATCTAAATTATGCCTGATTAAGTACCAGTTACATTTTGAATATATCAAGTAAAGTTTTACATAAATTATAAATATTTATATATTTCTGTGCGTATATACCATGCAAAAATTTTACGGAAATTAAGTTATACGCATATATTAATACACTTCTTTGCATATACATGAATCATGGTAACTTTACATGATTATTATGTTAGATTATTAATATTTATACATTTCTTTGCATATACAGTACATGTATTACGAAATGTTTAAATAGATTGTAGATATTGAAACTTTTCTTTTTTGAATATTTTATGTTTAAAACGGAAAATGTATGTTTCTAAACTTCTTAAGTAATCTCATATTTTGTAGCGTACATGAATAGGGCGAGTTAGGAAGAAGGAAAAAAGGAAATAAAATTTGATATTTTAAATCAGACTCTGGTTTTATTCTGAATGCCTAAAGTAAAAGGTCAAATGGTAATTCGAACCGCCATCATTGCCTTGGCTTTTACTTAAAATGTTCCGTATACTCGTATTCAGAATAAAATTAAAATGAAAATTATTAAATGCGTGGTGAAAAGTTAAAGGCATCATAACTTTTTTTTTAAAATCAGGAATAAATATTGAATAAAAGGCGGTATCTAAAAATCTAAAAGATCCATTTCAAAGCATAGATTGATAAGATTATATAAATTATCTACACCGATGTGATAAGAGCTCGAATCGAAAACTACGTACGTCACGTCCATATATTATCTAGATCTATAAACATTAAATTTTCAAATGCATCCTATTTAGGCTAGATAAAAAAAACTATCGAAATTCCAAAGTTATCCAGATACACACACTTCAACGTTTTTATCAATAATTTACACATACATTTATATTCGTATACTAAAGGTATAAATACGGGACCAACTCGATGATATAAAATGCATACTGTTTCACTTCCTAGTTGAACTAAGATTAAAAATTCACTTTATTAGACATAATGGATGTAACAAATGTTTTCCTCCTTTCTTTTCCGATTATAAACGAATATGTGACTGTTTTTAGTAAACCTCCCAGATGAGATGACAATGATTATATCAAAATAATCGTGATTTCCTGCATTCATATAATTATATAATGTTGACAAATACTTGAGAGCGTTCGTGATTTTCAACAATCATGTATGATATTGTTACATACTTGAGATCGAACGTGATTTTCATACATATACATGTATTGTCGAAGAATCCGTGAGAGCGTTCGCTATTTTCAACAGTTTTGTACATGTATAATGTTGATTTTCAATAGCTGACGACGAATCAATGATAGCCTTCGTCATTTTCTGTGATTTTCAATAGTCATATATATAATCATTACAAATACGTGACAGTATCCGTGATTTTCAACAGTCATATATAATGCTGACAAATACGTGAGAGCGTCTGTTATTTTTCCGTGATTTTCAACAGTCACATAAAATGTTGACAAACACGTGAGAGCGTCCGTCATTTTCCGTGATTTTCAGCAGTCATATATAATGTTGACAAATACGTGCGAGCGTCTGTGATTTTCCGTGATTTTTAATAGTCATATATAATGCTGGCAAATACGTGAGAGCGCCCGTGATTTTCCGTGATTTTTTAAGTCATATATAATGTTGACAAATACGCGAGAGCGTCCGTGATTTTCCGCGATTTTCAATAGTCATATATAATGCTGACAAATACGTGAGAGCGCCCTTGATTTTCTGTAATTTTCAACAGTCATATATAATGTTGACAAATCGTGAGAGCGTGCGTGATATTCCGTGATTTTCAACAGTTACATATATAATAATGACAAATACGTGAGAGCGTCCGTTATTTTCCGTAATTTTCAACGTTGACAAATATTTGAGAGCGGTAGTGATTTTCGACAATCTTATACATATATAATGTTGGCATTTCAAGAATTTTTAAAAATCATGAAACGACAAAAACCATGTCACTTATGTATCTTTACATTTTATTTACGTTTTGGCATTACGGCCTTATATAAATATTACTATTCTAGCCAAGTCTTACATCGTGCCGTCCTTATTATTATTACAGAAATAATGAAGTATCGACGGAAGTTGCGAAACCAATGGTTTTGTAATTCTCATACGCACTGTTTTTATGTGTGGCACTTCTCTATAAAGATATTTAAAGTGATATTGTTATGAAAAGTATCTTAGTAATATAACTAATTATGATAAACATAGAAAAATCCATTCCAAGATTTAGATTTAACTTTAGAAAAAGGTCGTTTTAAAAATATAGATTGGAAAATTACGTCTTGTGTGTAATGTGTAATATGTAATATGCATGTTATTGGAAATGAGTATCATTTTTTATTAGTTTGCCCATTTTATTCTGATTTAAAAGCACTTTATTTAGCAAGTTGTTACTACACATGGCCAAATAAAATGAAATTAAAGATATAATGAAATGTACATCGAAAAAATGTAATGATAAAATTACCTGGTTACATTCATTTACATTTAGATAAATGAAATAGTTAAGATTACTTGTAATAATATGTAACTTTGTCATAACCATCATCATATTTTTCCGTAATTACAGTATTGTATATGTTTTCTACATGTATCCATTTAAAAAAATCTGTATATGATTTCATATAAACCTATATTAAATATAAAACGCCAGTCATAATACTTTGGCGATAAACATTTAGAATTTTTATGTCAATAGGCTATTTGGCATGACTTGAAATAGAATTTCAGTTAAACTTTAAGCTATATGAAAATCAAAACATGTTGTAGATTTCATCGGGCTAGGTAGAGGTTATGAAATAGGAAGTTTATAAACAGCCATGCACTATATACTATTGACTGTCCATGTTATCTTGATAAAAATGAATAACTTCTGCAAACGGATGAAATAAATGAGCTTTAAGTAGTGTTCTTATCTCCGCTCTATATATATTTATTTATTTGTGATTTTCAATTGAATTCAAAAATCAGGAAGCACTTACATGCATGTATACTTGTTCACTGTGCAATTTTATGATTTGTTGCGATTAAAAGATATTAAAAGTGACTGTGTGAAATGAAATAAAACATATCGTTGAAATATCAAATAACCATACAACATAATCTCGTTACGGTGTTCAGACAACTATATATATATGCTACACGTTT